CCTCACCACCCCCTGCAGCCCCCCCGGCGCCGCGGCTCTTTGTCCCCTCGCCTGCACGTCTGGGGGGTCCCCGCCACGCCCTGAGCCGGCCCCGCTGCCGCCCCCAGCTGCCGCGGGACCCCCGCCCCCATGGGGGACGCGCCGCTGCCGGAGCTGGAGGCCGTGCTGGACGGAGGCGCCTGGGACGTGGGGGCGGCTTTCGAGGGGTGCCCCGCGCCCCCCGGGGTCCGCCTGGGCAGGGACGTTTGCTACGTCGTGCTGGCCGTGCTCTTCAACCAGGAGGTGAGGCAGCCCCGCTCCCAGCGCCCCCAGTGCAGCCAGAGCATCCCCCCAGTGCAGCCAGGCCATCCCCCAGTGCTCCCAGAGCATCCCCCCAGTGCCCCCAGTCCAGGCCCCAGTGCCCCCCCCGTCCCCGTTCCCGTCCCCGTTCCCGTTCCCGTTCCCGTTCCCATGCCCGTTCCCGTTCCCGTTCCCGTTCCCGTTCCCGTTCCCATCCCCGTCCCCGTCCCCGTTCCGCAGGACGCGCTGCTGCTGGTGCAGGAGGCCAAGCCCGAGTGCCGTGGCCGCTGGTACCTGCCCGCGGGCCGGGTGGAGCGGGGCGAGGCCGTGCTGGCGGCGCTGCGCCGCGAGGTGCGCGAGGAGTCGGGGCTGCACTGCGAGCCCGTGACGCTGCTGGCGCTGGAGGAGCGGGGCCCGGCCTGGATCCGCTTCGCCTTCCTGGCGCGGGCCACAGGTTTGCGGGGCTCCGAGGGGCGCGGGGGCTTCGGGGGAGGGTCCCCAGCTGGCCCCGCGGTGGGTGGCAGTGTTCCCTGCCAGTCCCGTGGTGGGTATCCCTGCCCCTTGCCTGTGATGGGTATCTGTGTCCCCTGCCAGTCCCAGGGTGGGTATCCCTGTCCCCTGCCAGTGTCAGGTACCCTGTGACAGGTATCCCTGTCCCCTGCCAGTGTCATGATGGAAAGTGGCACCCCTGTGATGGGTATCCCTGTCCTCTGCCAACCCTAGTGATGGTATCCTTGTCCCCTGGCACCCCCATGATGGCTATCCCTGTCCCCTGCCAGCCCCATGGTGGGAATCAGTGTCCCCACCCCACCCTGTGCCCAGGCATCAGTGTCCCCTGCCACCCTTGTGCCAGCTCTCTGGTGTCCCCTGCAAACCCCATGATGCATTTCAGCACCTTCGTGCCAGGCCATCGCTGTCCCCTGCCACCACCCCCAGCCCCCACGTGGGGCCACCAGTGTCCCCTGTCCACCCATCACGGGGGTCTCAATGCCCCACCAGTGTCCCCTGTCTGCCCACCCCGGGGGTCTCAATGTCCCACCAGTGTCCCCTGTCCACCCACCACGGGGGTCTCAATGCCCCACCAGTGTCCCCTCTCTGCCCACCACGGGGGTGCCACTGTCCCACCAGTGTCCCCTCTGTGCCCATCACGGGGGTCTCAATGTCCCACCAGTGTCCCCTCCCCACCCATCACAGGGGTCTCAATGCCCCACCAGTGTCCCCTCTGTGCCCACCACGGGGGTCTCAATGTCCCACCAGTGTCCCCTCTGTGCCCACCACGGGGGTCTCAATGTCCCACCAGTGTCGCCTCTGTGCCCATCACGGGGGTCTCAATGTCCCACCAGTGTCCCCTGTCCGCCCACCACGGGGGTCTCAGTGCCCCACCAGTGTCCCCCCCCAGCCTTTCCCTCTGTCCCGCTGTGTCCCCCATTCCGTGCCACCCCTGTTCGCGCAGGAGGGACCCTGAAGACCCTGCAGGAGGCAGACTCCGAGTCCCTCCAAGCCACCTGGTGGCCCGGGGACCCGCGCTCGCTGCCGCTGCGCTCCCCGGACATCCTGCCGCTGCTGGAGCTGGCCGCCCGCTACCGCCGCAGCCCCGCGCACCCCCCGACGCTGCCGCGGGAGCTGCCCTGCTCCCCGCTCTGCCTGCGCCTCCTGCTGCCCTTCTCCAACGCCGCGGGCGAGCTGTGGCTGCTGCTGGCCACCGGCGGCACCCCGCACCTGCCCGTGGTGGCGTGCGGCACGTCCCGCTCCGAGCTGCGTGCGGGGCTGCGCCCGCCGCTGCTGCGGCTGCTGCGGGAGCGCCTGGCCTGGGAGCCGCAGCCCGCGGCCCTGGGGCTGCTGGGGCTGCAGCACAGCCCCGGCGACTCTGGGGACAGCGACGGCGTCTGCTTCAACGTGCTGCTGAGCGTGCCCCCGGACAGCCGGCGGGAGCGGCCCCCCGAGCCCCGCGACCCCGCGCTGCGCTGGTGGCCCGTGCGGGACGAGCGGCTGCGGGGCCGCGTCCTGCGGAGGCTCGGTGCCACCGTGCCCGTCCGGAGCTAGGCACGGGAGAGCTGCGGGGGGAGTGCGGGGCTGGGAGGGGCAAAGGGGGAGCCCCGGGATGCGCTGCCCGGGGATGGGGGCTGCTCTGGGGGTGCTGAGGGCAGAAATGAAATAAACCCGGCGGCTGCTGGTTCCGTGTCCTGGCTGCGGTGGGGAGTGGGGTGCGGGGGGAAATGGGGTTTTGAGGGGTTTGGGGGAAATGGGGAGTGGGGTTTTGGGGTGTTTGGGGGAAATGGGGAGTGGGTTTGGGGGGAAAATGCAGAGTGGTGTTTTGGGAGTGTTTGGAGGAAATGGGGAGTGGGTTTGGGGGAAATGGAGAGTGAGGTGTTTGGGGGAAAATGGGGAGTGGGATTTTGGGGTGTTTGGGGGAAAATAGAGAGTGGGATTTTGGGGTGTTTGGGGAAATGGGGAGTGGGGCTTGGGGGCATTCGGAGAAAAATGGGGAGTGGGATTTGGGAGTGTTTGGGGAAAATGCAGAGTGGTGTTTTGGGGTGTTTGGAGGAAATGGGGAGTGAGTTTGGAGATGTTTGGGGGAAATGGGGAGTGGGGTTTTGGGGGAAATGGCGAATTAAGGATAAGGATTTAAGGGTTTAAGGATATTTGGGAAGGGGCACAGAGGTGCTGCTGAGTCACAGCTTTATTGGAGCAGAGTCCCATCACCCTGGGGAGGGGCTTTGCAGGGTCTGGGGGGACAGTCCCCCACCAGAGCACACACACATGGCACACACACACACAGACATGTCACACATGTCACACTCCCCCTGCCACAGCGCCAGGGCAGGGGGGTGTTTGGGGAAAATGCAGAGTGCTCTTTTGGGGTGTTTGGAGGAAATAGGGAGTGAGTTTGGGGATGTTTGTGGGAAATGGGGAATGGGTTTAAGGATGTTTGGGAAGGGGCACAGAGGTGCTGCTGAGTCACAGCTTTATTGGAGCAGAGTCCCATCACCCTGGGGAGGGGCTTTGCAGGGTCTGGGGGGACAGTCCCCCACCAGAGCACACACACATGGCACACACACACACAGACATGTCACACATGTCACACTCCCCCTGCCACAGCGCCAGGGCAGGGGACAATCGAGTCCTTGCAGCTGAGGGGGGCTCTGTCCCACACACCCCATTATTGCCTCATTATTGCCTAAAAATTCCCTGCTGGAGCCTTGGGGGGCTCGGGGCAGCTCCGGCAGCGCAGGGGGAGCAGGAACCACCACCCAGGAGGAGCCACAGCAGCCACGGCTCCGCACCCAGCACGGGGACGTGCTGACACCTCGGGGCTGGCCGAGGTGACAAGGAAGGGCTCCGCGCCTCCTCGTCCTCCTGCGAGGTCCTTCCCGCGGTGCCACGGCCGTTCCTGGCTACTGCAGGGCCACCAAAACGTGGCCGGCGGCCACCACAGCCCGGCCGAAGAGGGGGGGCTCAGGGCGGCCCCTCGGGTGGCCCCTTGACCAGGGCGATGGCAGCCAGCTCCTTGCAGAACTCCTCCAGCACCACCACCCCCTTGAACAGCACCGTGTGATCCATCCTGCGGGGACACCAGCCATGGCGGGGGGGGTCTGTGGGGTACAACCCCTCCCCAAAAGGGCATTTTGGGGCACTCACTGCTCTCCTGGCACCTGCCCCAGGAGCTGCCGGCGCACCAGGAGCAGCTTGGCCCTGGAGTGGGGCACGCGCTGCAGCCGCTGCATCAGCTCCCCGATCACCTGGGGAGGCAGGAAAGGGTCACCCCCCGGCCGGGGGCTGTCCCCGTGTCCCCACGCCCCAGAGGGTGACGTTACCCTGACGAGGACGGAGAAGAGCGAGCGGCAGCCGGGGGCCAGGCTGAGGTAGGGGTCCAGCAGGTACTCGTGGAGGTGGGGATGGGGCAGGGCGGCCAGCAGGGACAGCACCGAGGTCACCTGCAGGTTCAGGCTGTAGGGCTGGGATGGGGGGCACGCTCAGGACCCGGTGTGGGGTGACCCCCCCAGCACCCCCTCGTTCTGAGCCCGTCCCCACCGAGCGCTGCTGATGCTTTTGGGCACTCTGTCCCCACGACGGGGGTCCTGGGGGGGCACGGGGCAGGTGTAGCCGGGTACCTGATCCAGGATCCGGCTCATCCGGTCGAACAGCACCTTGAGGAAGTGTCCCTCGTAAAAAGCCACTCCAGGGTGACAGGAGTCCAGGGGCCGGGGGGACGAGGGCCACCCCCAGGGGGCTGCGCTGGCACGGCACGCCTGGACCTGCCCGGGGGGGACAGCAGGTGAGAGCCAGAGCGGGGACAGCCACCAGCAGGCTGGGGACCCCCCCAGGCACCCACCGTGCCCAGGGCATCGTGCACGTAGGTGTCATAGCCACCCTCCTCCATGCACGACGAGGTCTTGGCCTCCTCGGGGACCAGGCACAGGAAGCTGGAAGAGAGGGAGGAGAGGATGGGGAGGGGGATGCAGCCCCCCATTCCAGCCCAGCCCCCCCAAAGCCCTACCTGCTGACCACCTCGCTCACTTGCCCCTTCCCCGACGGGGTCGATGCTGGGGAAGGATTTTTTGTCGCCCTAAAGTTGTCTGGGAATCCGTCGGTGAAATAGGGATCCTCCTCCAGGTCCCTGTGCGGGGTCAGCGTTAGGGGGTGGGCAGTGGGGGTGCCCCCCTCGCCCTGCCCAGCCCCCCTCGCTCACAGCCCGTCCTCCTCGGGGTCTGTCTCGGGGGGCCCGCGCTCCTCGGGGCCGTGGGGGCCGCGCTGCAGGTAAGCCCTGGCCTCCAGGTTCCGCAGCACCAGGTTGTGAGCCACGTGCTCGTGGGGCTTCCTCAGGAGCTCCTCGAAGAGCCGCAGGCTGGCCAGGCTGATCTGGGCACGGCCAGCAGGGTGAGACCCCTGGGCACTGCCAGCAGGGTGAGACCCCCAGCACAGCCAGCAGGGTGAGACCCTGGCACTGCCAGCAGGGTGAGAGCTCCAGCACAGCCAGCAGGGTGAGATCCCCGGCACTGCCAGCAGGGTGAGACCCTGGCACTGCCAGCAGGGTGAGAGCTCCAGCACAGCCAGCAGGGTGAGACCCCCGGCACCACCTCCCTGCCCGCCCAGCCCGCCCAGGTGAGCTCACCTCGTCGCACAGGTGGTCGCAGCGGTCGATGAGCTGCGCCCGCAGGGGGTGGGGGTCGTCCCCGGGGGTCTCGGGGTGCCGGTGGGGCCCCAGCAGGAAGAGGACGAGGCGGTGGAGCAGGGCGGGCGCGCGGAGCTGCCGCACCGTCCCCGCCAGCACGGCCGTGGCGCCCAGCACGGCCAGCTCCGACCTGCCGGGGGACAGCGTGGTTGTCCAGGGAAAAGGGAACCCCCCCATGGCTCCGAGGGGGTCCTGAGGAGCAGAACGCCCCAGCCGGGCTCACTCACATCTGCAGGAGCTGCGGCTGCAGGATTCCCTGGAAGAACTTCTCCTCCACGGCCTCGCTGATGGCATCGGCCACGAGCTGGGGGGAGGGAGGGGCTGAGCGTGGGGACCCCCCAGGAGAAGAGGACACAGCCTTAAATTGCACCCCGGGGGGTTTGGGTTGGATTGGGAAGAATTTCTGCACAGAAAGGGTGACTGGATGTCGGGATGGGGCTGCCCAGGGAATGGTGGAGTCGCCATCCCTGGAGGGGGCACTCGGTGCTCTGGGCTGGTGACAGGGTGGGGACCAGGCACAAATCAAGTCCCAGAACAATGAATGAATCCCGTGGCTCTCACCGGGTGGGCGCCCATCACCAGCTCATCCAGGAAGTCCAGCCAGCCCAGGAACTCAGCCAGGCTCTCCTTGCCCGGGAAAGCCCCGTCCCCTGCGCCATCCCCCTGCGACCTGCACGGCGTGGGGAACGTGGAGCTGTGACACTGCCGGGGGGCACCTGGCACCCCCAGCCCAGCGCCCCCTCACCTCCAGCTGGCCCTGTCCATGGCGAGGACGTCAGCGGGGTCGGTGCCAGCGGGCACGGCGCCGTAGAGGTCGCAGAGGTGGCCCACGAGCAGCGGGCACAGGGCACTGCCCCGCGCCAGGCAGGTGGCAGCCGCCTCCTGGGACAGCCCCGCCAGCAGCAGCAGGTTCTCCCGAGCCTTCAGCGCCACCCGGCTCTTCTGCGAGGAAGAGGAGGAGGGCACGGGGGTGGCCACACGCCTGGCAGTGCCCGCTGTCCCCGCGGGGCCACCCGTGTGGCCGCACCTTGCTCCTGCACAGTGCCACCAGGCAGGTGACGAGGTTGCTGTCCCTGCGTGGCGGGGAGGGCTGGGCTGCAGGGCAGCTGGCACTGGCTGCAGGGCAGCTGGCAGCGGTGCCCGGGGCATGCTCCAAACCCTCCTCCCTGGGGCTCTCCGGGGCTCTCCTCCCGTTCAGGACGCTCTTTCCCTGCAGAGGAAGAGCAGCAGCAAAGCATTGCAGCCACCACCTTCCTCCTCCTCCTCCTCACGCCGAGGAGCTTTATGGCAGGGAGGAGGCTGCAAAGTGACCCCAAAAGGACAGGAGGCCACACCCCAAGGGGACCCGCACGGCCCCACCTGCAGGATGTAGGGCAGCAGGCTGGCGTCCTGCTGGATTTTGGAGCAGAGCACGGCTGCCAGCTGCACCTCCTCCCTCTCGGCGCCGGAGCCCAGGCGGTCCCCGCTGAGCTGGAGCAGCTTCTGGGGAGCAGGGGTGGGCATGTGGGGGTGCCGGGGGCTGCCCGCCCCGTCCCCGTGGCTGTCACCTCCCGGGGACAGGTGGCACCTCACCTGCACGGGCCGGAGCACGTTGAGGTAGTGCAGCAGCGGGTGCTGCAGCCGCCCCAGCAGGCGGCTGAAGAAGAGCAGGACCTGCTGCCTCATGCCGGGGGGATACTGGGACAGGGACACGGGGACAGCAATCAGCCACACCCCCTGATGTCCCCATAGCTACCCCAAACCGCCCCAAAATCATCCCCGCTTCCCTTCAACAATGAGGGGTTTAACTCGATTCTCTGCGTCAAAAGAAAAAGAAATCCGGGGGATTATTTCCCATTTCCCAGCACCCCAAACCCCCAAATCCTCCTGGGCGTGAAAGGCCCAGCGTGTTTCCACTTCTATTTGAATAAAAATCTATTTCTAGGGGCTTGTTGCTGTTCTTAGCAGCAAAGGGGCAGCAGAGCCATTATGTTTGTTACGTATTTGGCCAATATTTACCTTTTTTCCACACCTGGCACCTCATCCCTCAAAGCCAAATGCCAGATGTTTCTATTTCTTTTTTTTTAATATCTGTTTTTATTTTTATCTTTCAAATATCTGTGTGCCAGGTATTTAAAAAAAACCCTTCCTGTGCAAGCAGGGATGTGCTGAGGCGCAAGCTCCCAGAAAGGATCCCGGTGGGCAACTTGAGCAACCCAAGACCCTCCCAAAAAAGCCAAGTTTTCCATCACAAAAAGCCAATTTTCCACAAAAAAACAAACCCAAACCCAAGCCCTGTGACCACCTCACACTTCACAAACTCCCGTTCTCTGTAAAAATGCTCCAAAATTAAAATCACCGAGGGGCACCAGGTGAAGCAGCTGGGACAGGCTGCGGGCTCGGCCTCTCCCGAGGGATTTTCCCGATTTTCCCCCATTTTCCCGATTTTCCCGCTCACCTCCGCCTTTCCCAGCGTCCCCAGTGTCTCCAGCAGCTTGTGCTGCAGCAGGTACTCGAGGCACGGCCCCGTGTCCCCCGGCGGGCGCTGCTGCTCCTCGTGCACCAGGATGTCCAACATCTGCCGCAGGCGCCACGGGATGTCCGTCTGCCGCGCCGCCACGCTCTCGTCTGCCGCACCGGGAGGCGGGGAACGGGATTTGGGGATTTGGGATTAGGGATTTGGGGATTCAGGGTTCAGGGATTGGGGATTTAGGGTTCAGGGATCCAGGGATTTGGGGCAAAAAAACAAACCCAAACCCAAGCCCTGTGACCACCTCACACTTCACAAACTCCCGTTCTCTGTAAAAATGCTCCAAAATTAAAATCACCGAGGGGCACCAGGCGAAGCAGCTGGGACAGGCTGCGGGCTCGGCCTCTCCCGAGGGATTTTCCCGATTTTCCCGAGGGATTTTCCCGATTTTCCCGCTCACCTCCGCCTTTCCCAGCGTCCCCAGTGTCTCCAGCAGCTTGTGCTGCAGCAGGTACTCGAGGCACGGCCCCGTGTCCCCCGGCGGGCGCTGCTGCTCCTCGTGCACCAGGATGTCCAACATCTGCCGCAGGCGCCACGGGATGTCCGTCTGCCGCGCCGCCACGCTCTCGTCTGCCGCACCGGGAGGCGGGGAACGGGATTTGGGGATTTGGGATTAGGGATTTGGGGATTCAGGGTTCAGGGATTGGGGATTTAGGGTTCAGGGATCCAGGGATTTGGGGTTCAGGGATTTGGGGATTGGGGATTTGGGGATTCAGGGTTCAAGGATCCAGGGGTTAGGGATCTAGGGATTCGGGGATTGAGGATTTGGGGTCCAGGGATTCAGGGATTGGGGATTTGGGGATTCGGGGTTCAGGGATTTGGGAATTCAGGGACTGGGGATCAGGGATCTGGGGATTCAGGGATTGGGGATTTGGGGTTCAGGGTTCAGGGATCGGGGATTTGGGGTTCAGGGATTTGGGGATTTGGGGTTCAAGGATTCAGGGTTCAGGGATTGGGGATTCGGGGTTCAAGGATTCACAGTTCAGGGATCCAGGGATCAGGGATTGGGGATTCAGGGTTCAGGGATTTGTGGATTCAGGGATTGAGGATTTGGGATTCGAGGTTCAAGGATTCAGGGTTCAGGGACCCAGGGATTTGGGGATTCAGGGTTCAGGGATTTGGGGATTCGAGGATTGGGGATTTGGGGTCAAGGGATTTGGGGATTGGGGATTCGGGGTTCAAGGATTCAGGGTTCAGGGATCCAGGGATTCAGGGATCAGGGATTTGGGGATTCAGGGATTTAGGGATTTGGGGACTGGGGATTGGGGATTTGGCGATTCAGGGTTCCAGATACCCAGGGATCCAGGGATTAATGGGTTGAGGGATCTGGGGAATTCTGGGATTTGGGCATTCAGGGATCAGGGATTTGGGGATTCAGGGTTCAGGGATTCAGGGATTTGGGGATCCACGGATTCGGGGATATTCAGGGATCCAGGGATCAGGGGTTTGGTGATCCAGGGATTCGAGGATTCAGGGATTCAGAGATCAGGGATTCGGGGATTCAAGAATCCAGGGGTTCAGGGATTTGGGGATCCAGAGATTTGGTGATACTGGGATTCAGGGACTCGGAGACCTGGGGATTTGGGGAATCAGGGATTCGGGAATCAGGGATCTGGGGATTCATGGATTCAGAGATTCATGGATTCAGGGATTCAAGGTCGGGAGGCTGTGGCGGGGCACCCCCGGGCGGGATCCGGAGATTCATGGATTCACGGATTCAAGGTCGGGAGGCTGTGGCGGGGCACCCCCGGGCACGGCAGCGGGAGGGATGCCCCGGTGAGGTGCCAGCCGTGCCAGTGGGGTCCTGCCAGGGCTTTTCCCTGATCCGTGCCATCCCTAAATCCGGCTCCTCCGGAGCGGGAACGACGCTAGATGGCAATGTGAGGATGGAACAGCTGCTTCCGCCCCGGCCTAGGGCGCTGCCGGACATCCCGCTCCTCCCGCCGCTGCCCGTTCCCCCGGTGGGCACCGGAGACCCCCGGCACAGCCGGGACCGGGATCCACCGGCACAGCCGGGCCCGGGATCCCGGGATTCCCGGGAATTGGGGCCGGAGCTCTCCCGGCGCCGCTCCAGCGCTGCCAGGGCGCAGCGCGCTCCCGAAGGGACGTGTCCCAGCCTGTGCCGGGAGTGTCCCCACACACCCCAAAATCTCCGTGCCGACCCCACCGCGCTGCCGGGGGGTCGCGGCGGGGCAGGGCAGAGAACCCCGAGGGGGTAAATCCTGCCCGGGCTTGGGAAGGGTGTCCCGGGCCCGGCCCCGCGGGCACCGGGGTCCCGTCCCAGGATTTGGGGTCCCACGGCAACGTGCAGGGATTTGTCCCAGGACACGGGGTCCTGTCCCGGGACATTCCCCTGACCCTGCCCCAGGGCACAGGGATCATTCCTAGCCCGGGGATCCCGTTTTAGGACACAGGGACGCTCTCCCAGGACACACGGCCCCCTCCCAGGATATGGGATCGCGTCCCAGGGAATGGGGTCCCCCCCTCCTTGGGCACAGGGACCTTGTTCCCGTTTTTAGGACACCCTGTTTTAGGATACAAGGACCTCTCCTAGGACACAACTCTGTTCCCACACCACAAGGATTTATTCCCACCTGAGACCCCATCCCGGAGAGAAAGAACTCCATCCCGGGAAACAGGGACCCCGTCCCGGGAAAAAAGCACCCCCAGCCCGGGGCACCGGGACCCCTCCCCGCACCCCGCTCACCTGTGGCCTCCAGGTAGTAGCCGGTGATGCCCGTCCAGTGCTCGGTGAAGGCCTCCAGCAGGTCCACGCTGGGCTCCCGCTGCTCACACCGGGACCGGGGTCAGGGGGGCACGGAACCCCCCACTCCCGGTGCCGGTCCCGTTCCTCCCGCGTCCCCCCCGGCCCCGCTCACCGTCTCCACCGCCTGCTGCAGCAGCGCTCCCAGACGGCTGAGCATGGCTGGGACCCCCGGCACCGGCACCGAACCCGCCGCCGGCCCCCGGCCGGTCCCGCCCGGTCCCTCCCCCGGTCCCTCCCGGTCCCTCCCCGGTCCCGCCCCCGGCGGCTCCGCTGCGGCTCCCGCAGGGATGGGCCGGGCTGGGAGCGAGCAGCGTGGAGGACGGAGGGGTTGCGAAGGTGCCTCAGCCATAAAAGTGCTCCGCGGGCAGGGCTGGGTGGGGTGGACGCGGGGCACCGGGGTGGGGATGGAGCCCACAAACCTGGATGGGAACAAACCCCCCACACAGGGCGAGGGCATCATCCTACCCGGGACTGACCCCACAAACCCTTCATCGGGATGGGGATTGACCCCATAAACCCCTTCATTGGGATCGTGATACCCCCCATAAACTCCTTCACTAGGATTGGGATTGACCCCACAAACTCCTTCCCTGGGATGGGGACTCACTCCACAAACCCCTTCACCAGGATCAGGACTGACCCCACAAACCCTTTCACCAAGATCAGGACTGACCCCACAAACCCCTTCACCGGGATCAGAATTGACTCCACAAACCCCTTCACTGGGATCAGGACTGACCCCACAAACCCTTTCACCGGGATCAGGATACCCTCCATAAACTCCTTCACTAGGATTGGGACTGACCTCACAAACTCTTTCCCTAGGATCAGGACTGACCCCACAAACTCCATCCCTGGGATGGGGACTGACCCCACAAACCCCTTCAACAGAATGGGAACTGACCCCACAAACTCCTTCCCTGGGTTTGGGACTGACCCCACAAACCCCTTCAACAGAATGGGAACTGACCCCACAAACTCCTTCCCTGGGTTTGGGACTGACCCCACAAACCCCTCCACCGGGATGGAGCCCACACTCACCAGGACAATGACAAGGACCCCACCCCCTTCCCAGCTCACCCTTTCCCACAGCACAACCCAAGTTTTACGACATTTTTTCTTTAATTCTCTAAAAAACAATTTTCTCCAATTAAACCCAAGCCCTGACAAGCACAGCTGCTGGAAATGCACCCAGGGCCCAGCCCGGGTCCCGCTGACTCCAGGGAATGGACAATCGGGTGCTCCCAAACCCGTGCCCCCCAGGGTTTGCCCACACCCACCCCTGGAAATTCGGGGTGCCCACACTGGGGACAGAGCCAGCAGCTCCTGAAGTTGTACCCGGGGATTTTTACCCCAAAACCGAGGCGCTGGGACGGGTGGGGACGCGGCAGGGAAGCCCCCGGGTGGAGAGCTGATAGGTGTGTGTCGATATATCTGGATACAAAAATAGATGTGCGTAGTTGTAGCGCTGATAGTGACGGATACATTCAAATTCCAGGCTGATCCCAGGCTGGTCCCGCACGATCCACGTGCGGCCCGATGGTCTCCGGGAGGCTCCCGCTCCGTGCTCACATCGCAGACTTCATCTCCCACTCCTGGACAGATTGGGGGGGTCAGTCCCTCATTTCCCTGTTCTGTGGGATCCCCTCAACCCTTCTGTCCTGGATTGCCAAGCGCATTGGATTCTGTTTGGATCTGCATGGCAGCTGTCTCCTGTTCATCCGGCAGTTTTCCTTATCTCTTCCACACCCAATCCTTCCTGGGGGACACCTGCTGATAACAGGCTGTGGGATGTCCCTGCACGGCTGATAACAACTGCAGCATCCACTGGGAGATGTGAGCCCAGGCAGATTTATAGCAATTCAGAGGGAGGGGGTTTGCGTTCTCCATTTCAGGGGAGGCTCCTGCCTTCCTGAGCAGACACCTGGCTTTCCAAACCGAGACCCTTCCCCTTCCCCCGGGTCCCGGAGTTACCTTTGTCTTCCTCATCACATTTCCCTTCCCCGCCACGACCGGGGACGGCGGCGGCCTCATGGCGCTCCTGGCCGAGGTGGTGCGCTTCAGCAGTGGCCTGAGGAATGATCCCTGGGGGAGAAGCAGCGGAGGAAGGGTCGGGAGTGCCCCGCAAACCTCGCCATGCCTGTCATGCACGCCGGCTCTGGTGTCCCCACCTCGGAGCCAGCCGAGCTGGCGGTGGCGGCGATGTGCCCCTTCAGCGACTTCCCGAGCGCCAGCAGGTTCATCTCGGAGCCGGCCTTCAGCCTGCCCTTCACGCCCCGCTCCAGCTGCCCCACCTTCTCCTCCAGCCTGGGAAAGGCTCTTTTCCCTGCAGGGACAGCAGGAGCGCTGCCAAGGCTGGCACCCCAGCCCTGCCAGCTGCTCCGGCCGGGAGCGGGCAGTGCCCGGCCCAGAGCGCAGGGATGGGCTCTCCGTTGAGGGGGTGGATAAATTATCTCTTGTCTTTTTTTTTTTTAAAAAAACCTCAGAAGTTTATCTCTTTAATTGGGTAAAAAAGACACTTTACAGGACTTTACTTCAAACTTAAGGATAGCTAATTGGACAGAAGGTAAAAGGTCTTGCTTAGGCAATGTTGGAACCTCTGACTGCCCTGGGTGGCTCGAGACCCTGGCAGGGGGCTCAGAGTCCTTGGCACAGAGTCAAAGACAACTCTGCCTTCGGTTTTAACCCACGGAAAAAATGACCAGCTTTGTGTGAAGATTTACAAGCCGCAAGAGTTTGAGTAGAATGGTAGTTAATTTATCACAGGGTGAAAAAGGAGAATTTTGGGGTTTTTAGAATGGAATCCAAGGCACAGGGGTCTTTGACTCTGTGCCAAGGTCTCTGAGCCCCTGCCAGGGTCTTGAGCCATTCGGGGCAGTCAGAGGAATGTCCTGGGTTCCCACAAGGCAATTTGCTAGAATAAGAAGAGAACAAAAGAACTAATGGTTTTTGTAGGGTGTTTTACCAGGAGCAAGAGCTTTTTGCCCTCAGCTCAGGTTTTCTCCGTAAAGAGCTTTGTTAATTTGCCTTTTATTAAAACCTTTCTGTTTCTAACACCACTACAGAAGCCACCTTGCTGATTTTGTGCTACCTGAGCTATTTTAGGAGCGATGTGTTTCTCTGAGAGCTCACAAGCCCCCGCTCAAAGGGATCATGACACCCCCAGAGCCCCCCCGGGTGCTCCTACCGACGAGCACATCCCGCCCTTCCCGTGGGCCCCTGCTCGGGGGCAGGCTCTGGGGCAGGGGCAGCGTGTGCTGGGCGAGGGAGGAGCCCCTGCTCTGCGGGCTCGGGCTGTCCTTCGGCAGCTGCGCGCTGGCAGGCCGGGCCCGGAGAGCGGCTGGGGCTGCGGGGAACGGGAGAGAGGGTCAGGAGGGGGGCAGGGAGAGAGGGTCAGGAGGGAGGGCAGGGAGAGAGGGTCAGGAGGGGGGCAGGGAGAGAGGGTCAGGAGGGAGGGAAGGGAGAGAGGGTCAGGAGGGAGGGCAGGGAGAGAGGGTCGGGAGGAAGGGCAGGGAGAGAGGGACAGCCAGGAGGATGGGCAGGGAGAGAGGGTCAGGAGGGAGGGCAGGGAGGGACGGTCAGGAGGAAGGGCAGGGAGAGAGGGTCGGGAGGGAGGGCAGGGAGAGAGGGTCAGGAGGGAGGGCAGGGAGAGAGGGTCAGGAGGGAGGGCAGGGAGAGAGGGCCAGGAGAAAGGGAAGGGAGAGAGGGTCAGGAGGAAGGGAAGAGAAATGATGATCAGGAGGAAGAAAAGAGGAGGGAGGGTGAGGAGGAAGAGAAGAGAAAGGGTGATCAGGAAGAAGAGTACAGAAAGGGTGATCAGGAGGAAGGGAAGAGGAGGGAAGGTCAGGAGGAAGGGAAGGGAGATGGTGGGAAGGAAAGGAAGACAAAGGGTGATCAGGAGGAAGGGAAAAGATGATCAGGAGGAAGAGAAGAGGAGGGAGGTTGAGGAGGAAAGGAAGGGACAGGATGATCAGGAAGAAAAGAGAAAGGGTGATCAGGAGGAAGGAAAAAAGAGGGAGGGTCAGGAGGAAAGGCAGGGGAAGGATGCTCAGGGGACAGAGCAGAGGAGGGACACTGGAGAAAGGGAAGAGAAAGGATGATCAGGAGGAAGGGAAGGGAAGGGAAGGGAAGGGAAGGAAAGGAAAGGAAAGGAAAGGAAATCAGGAGGAAGGATGCATGAGGGAAAATCAGAAAGAAGGAAAGAGAGGAAGAGTCAGGAGGAACAGAAGAGAAAGACCAATTATCCCTCCACCCAAAAAAAGCTGATTTTCCCCCCAAAAAACCCCAAACCCTGTAACCACCTCACAGTTCACAAACTCCCCTTCAGAGTAAAAACGCTCCAAAATGAAAATTATTGAGGTGCACCATAGAGCAGCTGGGAAAGGCAGTGGGAATGATCCTGAGTAATCAGGGTGAAGGGAAGGGAAAGGATTATCAGGAGGAAGGGAAGAGAAAGGAAAATCAGGAGGAAGAGGAGGAACGCTGGGGAGGAAGGCCGGGGGAAGGACACAGAAATCCCATCTCTCACCGGCAGCGCTGCCTCCCTGGCAGCCGGGGGAGCCGGGGAAGGGGGGACAGCCCTGGGGCACCCTTCCCCTCTCACCTGCCTGCGCGGGCCGGGCACGGCCCGGGGCGGGGCTGCTGGCACCGCAGGGCAGGGCAGACACGGCTCTCGGCCGCTGCCCCGGCGCTGCCCGGTCCAGGCTCTGCTGCTGCGGAGGGAAGCCCAGAGAGGCCCGTGGGCAAGGGGGCGGTGGGAGCGGATCCCCCCGCGCTGGGGGGCACGAGTGGGGGGCAAGGGGCACCGGCAGAGGTTACCAGCTGCTGCAGCCGCTCCGCGTTGGAGTAGAGGTGTTTGGGGCTCCCAGCCGGGGGCTGCCCGAAGGGATCGTCCATGTACGCGTTGGGGGTGGGGACGCGGCGCAGCAGCAGCCCCCTGCAAGGAGGGGGGGTCGCGTTACCTCCCGCACCCCGCACGGAGCCGGGGCTGGGGGTCCCAAAGCCTTACCCGGCAGCGGGGCGGCTGCTCGGCCGGGGGGGTCTCGGGGGGGGCCCGTCCGCCTTCTTCGGCTCCACTCCTCCCCTGGCCTGCAGGGTCTTCAGCCAGGCTTCCCTTTCCTCGTCCGAACGGGCCTGGTGTGGGGCAGGGTCTGGGCTCAGGGGGTGCTCCTGCAGCAGGGTTCGGGCTAAGGGGGTGCCCCGGGGAAGGGTCTGGGCTCAGGGGGTGCCCCCGGGGCAGGGTCCGGGCTCAGGGGGTGCCCCGGGGAAGGGCGTGGGCTCAGGGGTGACCCTGGGGCAGGGTCCGGGCTCAGGGGGTGTCCCTGCAGCAGGATCTGGGCTTCGGGGGTGTCTGACAGGGCAGGTCTGGGCTCAAGGGGTGCCCCCCTAGACCGGATCCGGGCACAGGGGGTGCCCCCGGAGGAGAGTGTGTGCTCAGAGGTGGCCCTGCAGCAGGGTCTGGGCTCAGAGGTGTCTGCCAGGGCAGGTCTGGGCTCAGGGGGTGCCCCTCTAGACCGGATCCGGGCTCGGGGGTGCCCCTGCAGCAGGGTCTGGGCTCAGGGGTGCCCCCCGGAGGGACACGGGGGGTGCCCTGGTGGCCGCTCACCTGCAGCAGGGCGAGCTCCCGGCCGCGCTGGGCGATGCGGATCCGCAGGTTTTGGGGCGAGCCGGGGGCCGCCCCGGGGGTCACCTCGCAGCCGTCCAGGCGCAGGGCGCACACGGGGCGCTGGGCAGCGCCGGGCTCCGGGAACATGCGCAGGGCTCCGTGCCGGACCGCGCACCACAGGCGCTGCCAGCGCCCGCGCAGCCGCACGGCCAGGAACCCTGCGGGCAGCCCGGTCAGGGCCACGGCGCGGGCACCCCCCGAGCCCCGGCCCCTCGCAGCCCCCACCTCCTCTGGCGTCCTCTCCGGGCCGCGGGCTGCGGGCAGGGCTCTGCCGGGAGCGGTTCTCCTCCTCCTCGTCCTCCTTGGCGAGCTGGGGATGGGGGGAGCCCCAGCTCTGTGGGCTCTCAGCCTCCTCTCCTGTGCTCTCCTGTGCTCTCCTGTCCTCTCCTCTCCTCTCCTCTCCTCTCCTCTCCTCTCCTCTCCTCTCCTCTCCTCTCCTCTCCTCTCCTCTCCTCTCCTCTCCTCTCCTCTCCTCTCCTCTCCTCTCCCTCATCCTTTCCCTTCCTTTCCTCCTGATTATTCAGGAGCCCAGGATATGGACTTGGGGTGTATTCCCGAGCGGTTCCCGGGTTTCCCGGGGGACCAACTCACCCTGCTGAGCCTGGGGGCAGGGGACGCGGGGCCCCTGAGGGCTGCCAGCCCGCTCGGGGCATCGCTGCTCACCTCCTCGATCACCTGCCGGGGGGAACGGGCAGCGCTGCACCCCGCGCTCCGGCTGCCCGCCTGAAACAGCTCCGCACACCCCCGAGAAGGGAACTGGGGGCACACCGGGCCACCCCCAGCCCCCCGGGAGCTCCGGAGCAGGGCTGAACCCCCACCGCCCGCTGCCCGCCCCGCTCCTGCCTGGCTGCAACACCTCCAAACCTTCCTCCAGTCCTCAGCCTGCTGCCGGCTCTGGAAGCCGATGACCAGCGCCTCTCCCGCCGTCCCCGTCACCTTCAGGGCGTGGGGCATCTTCTTGCCCCGCTTGTCCTTGTAGGTGACCCGGCAGCCGCGCAGGTCCAGCTCCAGCACCGGCTGCAGGTCAGCGGCGCACCTGAAGCACTGGGGAGGGGGCACGGGGGGTCAGGGGCGGTCCCGGAGCCCCCTCCCCTTCATCCATCGCCCTCCTCACCAGCAGCACGTGCTCCCGGACGATGAAGAGCTGCTTCGCCCACCGCCCGAGCCAGCGCTTCCTCCAGAGGAAGCCGCAGAGCTGCGGCTGCGGGCGCCCGGGGGGCTCGGCCTCGGCGCTGGGGGCCGCTGGCCAGCGCAGGTAATGGGCCCGGTCCGTCACGCCTTCCTCCTCCTCCTCCTCTTCCTCCTCTCCGTACGACTCGTAGTGGCTGCTGTCGCTGTCGCCACCGCCTGGGAGGCGGGATGGGGTCAGGGCGGGGGGCGCGGGGTGATGGG